CCGGTCATTCCAGGCCTGGCACCACCAGCCAGGTGTCTTTCCTGTGTTCCTGGCTGGGTCTTTTTATTGTCTTTTAACGTTCTATTATGCTATTTTGCATTAATTTGAAATTCTCGTTAATGCTTTAATCTCTTGCATTTTATCGTTTTTATACTTATACTTGGAAGATGCTCCCTAGAGGCGTTCTATTCTTTTCGACGTCAGGCAAAACCCTTTTTTATTTTCCTGCTATTTTAAAGTTTAATTGATTTTTACTGGGGTTTTAGTATGTCAATTGTCAGGTGCTGTGGGGTCTGTTTGATTCCACTCATTTTTGTTGTATGCTGTCCTGAGATGTTTGCAGTGGACAGGTTAGAAAAGCTTTTAATAATAATAATAATAATAATAATAATAATAATAATAATAATAATAAATACTTGGTTATAAGCCACACAGAGCGCTTCAGCTAAGGGCAATATAGAAATGAAATGAAATAAATTAAATAGTAACCACTTGGTCCCACCTCCAAGAGTTTTCACCAGCTTTTTCTTCTCCTCAGCATTGTTTCAAGTGTCCTTTTCTTTTCTATCAAAATGCAGAAAAAGTCAGGGGGGATAAATTTGTGAGACCAAAAAATATTCTTTTCTCCATCTTGGTAGGCATCAAGTAATCTCTCTAACGGTTCAGTTCTGATTTTCAGTGCTGTGCAGCAGACATTCTTGGGCTGGCGCTCAGGAGATCAAGGTTCTAGTCTCCGCTCAGTCCTGAGACTCTCTGGGTGAGCTTGGGCCAGACTCTCACCCAGCCTACCTCACAGGGTTGTTCTGAAGATCCAATGGAGAGATGGAGGACCCTGAAAGCACTTTTTCCTTGCAGATAGGTAATAAGAAAAGCCATTTATCTCTCTCTCCCATGGGATTGTCCACGACCCGCTGAGCTCAGAAGACCAGGGACATTCCCGCGCCCAAAGCCCACCAGAACGTGGGCTCATTTGAAGGATCACAGAATCACAGCAGAGCCGAAAGGGGCCAGAGGATCCACCCCCTGATCAGTGCAGGACTCCAGGTCAAGCCATGGGAGGGCCCACCCCCTCCCTGGGGCACCGGCTCCATTGGCGCATTGATGGCCAACTGGAATCTGGCTTCCGGTCACCGGAGCCTGTTATTTTGTGTCCTGAATGTGTCCGGGACGATGAAGGAGAGATCCTGGCCTTCCTCTTTGTGGCAGCCTTTTCAGCACTTGTAGAGGCTATCCTATCCCCCCTCAGCCTTCTCTTCTCAAGGCTAAACACGCCCACTTCCTTCAATCCCTCCTCACGGGGCTTTGTTTCCAGTCCTGGATCATGCTTGCTGCCCTCCTCTGGACCCTTCCCAGCTTGCCTGCCTCTTTCCTCAGCTGTGGTACCCAGAACTGGGCACAGCACTCCCAGTGAGGCCCCCCCCCCCCCCAGTGCTGAGCAAAGAGGAACCGGGACTTCATGTGATTTGGGAGTGATGCTCCTCTTGCTGTAGCCTAAAATAGACTTTGCCCTTTTTGCAGCCTCGTCACACGATTGACTCATATTCAGCTTGTGATTTGCAACACTTCCAAGATCTTTCTCACTGGCGGTTCTGTTGGGCCAACTATTCCCCGTCTTGTAACGATGTGCTTGTTTTCCTTTTCCAAGTGCAGAACTTGGCCTGTGTCCCTGTGGAATTTCATTCAGTTCTTCCAGCCCAGCACTGCGAGCTCTCAAGATCACCTTGAACCTTCTTTCTGTGGCAGACGTGTTTGCTAGGAGAGACGGGAATGTTCCAGGAACGCCACCATCCCGCTTGCGCTGGGAACACTCACGGCTGAAAAACTGAAGACGCTGCCAGGAGAAACACGCTTGTTCGTCATGGATTCTGCTAGGAGAGACGCTTGCCTCCTGGGGCGTTACATTTACGGGTGGTTTGGCCAGTGAAGGCTTTCAAACTCGCCACCAGCCACCCCAGCTGGGAATGATGGGGGTTGCAATTCAAGGCACCCAGAAGACAGAGCGCTGGAGAAATGCTTGTATTTTGTGTGCTTCTGCATACTTGCATGCATAATTTGAGCCCGACCTCTGAGATGTGACTCATGCCTTGCGAAAGAGAACATCAGGCGGAGCTGCTGCAAAATCCATCTGTGGAACAAGGGCAGGCAAAAGACCAAGGATAGGAAAAATAAGTAACATGACAGGAAGTGACATGCGGTGTGGCTCACTTGGGTGGGAAGGGGTGCTCAGAAGCCGGAAGTGAGGCATCCATGAAGCAGGCGGGAAGGGTGCGTACCTGTGCGAGGGCAGCAGCCAGGGCTGTTGTGTTCTTGTTTTCAGTGCGTGGCTGCAGGCCGTCCTCCATCCCAGCCTCCGTTCCGGAATGAATCCGCCAGAGGGCCTTTGGGCCCCAGAGGCTTTTGTGGAAAGGGAGAGTGGCCCCCGTGATAGGAGCTGTCCCTGGGGGTCCTTTCCCACGTCGCACCAGGTCTTCCAAATAGTCCTTCCAGAAGTCTGGCCTGCTCCATCAGGTGTGCCATCAGCCCAGACAAGGCCGGGCACTGGGGGCAACCCTGGCAGAAAGATGCCAAGGGGAAGAAGGTAAACCAGGTGTGCACGTCGGGGGTTCTTCCCAGCATTGTAACACTAACTCACTGGTGAGTCCCATGACGCGGGTCCCAATCCACCCCCCTCCTGCAATTCCGGCTGTTACCTCCAAGTCTCCCGCAGCCGTCATCTCACGCCGTTCGTCCGGGCGGCACTTTCCTAGCCTGTATATTTCAGCGTGTGCTAAATTTGCACTCTTGTTCTGGGGTGGTGGGAGGAACTGCAGAGAGCAAGCAGCTGAACCCAGCAGTGCCTGCGTCTGCTTGGGAGTAAATCACTTTGCCTTCCACGGCACTGTTGCAAAAGTCAGCCTGTGGGAGAGGGCGATCGCTGTGGCTTCGAGGAAAGGAGCTGCGACTGGCTTTCCGAAAAGGAAAACCTCTCCCCTTTGCACCAAGAAATGCGTGCTGGCGCTGAATGGCTCTTTCATCTGTGCTGCATTCCTGAGAACACGACCCTACAGCAGAAAGTGTGTTGTACATAAACAGCACCCTGGTGCACTCCAGCAACCCAAAGCAGCTCCACGCAGGTGATCCCCACCCAAGGGCCACAAGAATCGAGGGAGAAGCAAGCAGCCTTTCCTGGCCTGGCGCCCTGGTGGGCTCCAGTTCCCACCATCCCCACCTAACGTGGCCAGTTCTGGCCAGGAATGAAGGGCACCGGGCTGGGGAAAGCTGGGCTACGCAACGAGCAAGGTGGATGCAATGGCACCATTCTGCGGCAGAAGGAAAACGGGGGAGATGCAAAAGCAAAGGGAAAGCGACGAGACGGCTCCTTTAGAGGTGGGATGGGGAACCGGAGGCTCTTCCTTTGCTGCTGGACTACAGCTCCCATCATTGCTAACTACTGGCTGGTGCCCCTGCTGCGTGGGGCCTCTGCTCTGCTCTGCTGTGCAAGCACACTTTCCTAATAAATGCTGGTTTAACTAAGGAGGTTGTCTAGAACGGCAGAACAGAACCGGGGCCCCTGCGGTTTGCGGCTGCCCTCCGTGCCTTGCCCCTCTGTTACTGACACACAGGGGTGTGTGGATAGCGCACTGCAAACATGCTACGCTCGCAGCGACGACATTGGAGTGGTGCCTCAACGCCGCCCTTGCACAGTTGTGCGCGTGACATCCCCCCCCCCTGTTTTTCCTCTCTTTCGGCACAGGGTTTCATCCCATGCTCACCTGCGCTTGGATCCTGTTTGCAAAGCGGCCCCTGGCATCTCTCGGAAATGTTGAGGAAGGCCCCGGCAAACGGCGCTTCCCGTGCGGCCAGCAGGCTCTCGGGCATCCGAATCCGGGGATTCCAAGAGCATCCCTGAAGGGACGAGCAGAAGATGCCGCGGGTGCTTTGCTGCATCGGTGGCCGGGTACTGCGGCCCGGAATGAAGCACCGCAGTGGATGTCCGGCTTAGCCACGCTCCGAGGTTGCGATCAGGAGCCTTATAGGGACACCTTCCGCGTGGCGCCCGGTGCCATCTAACACGGCACCCCTGCATCTTAGGGGACAGTCAGCCTTAAAAGGGGAGGGGCAGAAATATGAGGCAAACTGATTGTGACCCATATAATTTTGGGGGTTTGGGGATTATCGCCTCTGCTTTGAGCAAATATTCAGACGTAGAGTGCGGCACCTGCCATGGAAGCTTGGGCAACAACTGGTCAGAGAAGGCTTTGGCATGGTGCCGGTGGGCCATTCCTAATCCGGATCTGTTTGATGCAGCCCGATGCCCTTGTGGCTTCGATCCCCCAAGGAAAACCTGGACAGCGAGTCATAGAAACAGAGCGAGTCGGAGGGGGCCTCCCTGGCCACCTAGTCTGACCCCGGCTCCAGCCAGCTCCGCTCCCGACGGGCCCACCGTGTGCCTGTCCGACCAATAATGCCAATACGGGAAACGTAAGAGGGAGGTGATGGCCAATCCCAGTTGTGTGTGTGGGAGCGTCCCGCAAACGATCCCGTCACAATGGACGGCCCCCTTGGAAGGTTTCCTGGTCCCCTGAAAGAGTTCCCTCCCCTCGCAGGCACTGCTGCCCAATGGTTACATGCTCTAGCTATCCAGCCATAGGTTTATGCAGTCTGGTAACAGCTTCTACATTATCTAATTTTATCTGCAACCTTCTCCATTGTTCCTATTGCCTGTTTTTAGGCCCATTTGTTGTCTTACTGTTTTGCAGTTTACACACATGCTATGTTGCTTTGTGAGTTCTTGTGCAATGATGCTGTGCCACACGAAATAAATAAATAAAACAGAAATGGAGAGACCTATTGGGCGGGGGGGGGGGACCTTCTGCCACCCCCTGAAATCTGCAACTCTTGTGAAGGTGCCACAGGAAAAAGCCGCCTCAGGAAAAAGCCGCCTCAGACACGGAATCAGCCCTAAGAAATTCCTCTGAAGAGCCAGTAATTTGCGCAAAGAAAAAGAACATGACTCACAGTTGTACTCGTGGTTGCTTTCTGCTGTTTTATTTTCGGTTTTGTACAGCTATATTTTACAGAACGCGTTAATGCAGTTTGATGCAGCCCAAACCCTGTCACCCGAGATTGACTGATTGTAACACAAGTGTATAAAATGAGACCAAATTATCATTATTATTTTAAAAAAAGAAAAAAACCCGGACATTCTCCATCAAGATTCTGCACTGACCCCTCCTTAGCAACATCGGATCGTACCTCAAACTGGGCTCTCATTTAGCTGAAAAGAAAGGCACTGTGAGAAAAACAAAAATAAAATCCCAAACAAATATTGTACATATATACAGACTGGAAAAAAAACCCACAGAAACAAAATTACACTTTATATTATTTTAAATTCCTTCTGCAGCTTTGTTGGTTTTAATACACTTTTTTTGTAAATTGTAAACCTTCACTTGCAAAAAAATACAAATACACACTCAATGCTCTTAGACAAAATATTTTCTCACTAATACAGATGCAATACTTTTAAAATATCTTGTTAAGTGCTCTGTCACACTAAAGTCTCTCCAATCAGTCATCTGCCTGCAGAGACCAAATGTGAGACTTTAATGTGTTTATATATATATATAGATATATATATATGTATATATATATATAATATCTTTTTAAAGGTTTATATTTTTATATATTCATATATTTACAACTCTGCCATAAATTCCTTCACCTTTGGTTAAAAAGTTAAAGCCCTCTCTCCATTCTTATAGCATATACAATCTCTTTCTTTTTGTTAAAAACACACCATTTTGCATAAAAGGAAATAAAATTTGTTCCCGTAAATAATATACATTCCTCAACTTCTGGCTGTGAAGGGTTCCACATCTGACACACCACTGCACAGATTTTGAAAGAGCGGTCCTGTTGCCAACCTCTCAATGATGCGCGCGCGCACACACACACACACACACACGCGCACACAGATTGGACTGTGTATATATATATATATATTTATATATATATAAAATTCACATAATCGGGAAATGAAAATAAAATAAACATAACATAAACCCGTGTCTTTTCTCCTCTTTTCTCCCTGCCTGCACTCTGGGCTTCTAGAGGCACTCCATTGTGTGACCAAAAACGAACCGAAAAAAAAAAATTTTTTAAAGTGTTACAAGTATCCTTTGGATATGACCCCCGGCGCCCCCGGCCCCCCGCCTGACCCCTCTTCCTCTGCCCACGGTGGTGAAAAGAAGTCCATCATTAGCAAGCCTTGGAGAGCTCCGGTGTGCCCTCTGCTGCCGAGACGCGGTACTGCACCTTGGTGTTCGTGATGGCGCCGTGCTTCTGGCGGAGGTGCAGGCGCAGCTGGCTCTTGTGGCGGAAGTGCAGGTTGCACTTTTCGCACTGCGGCGGGAAACAGAAGGGGCCGTTAGGAACGCGCCGGGCGCCGCGCCTCCTCCGGCCTCGAGGCTGGGAGAGGGGCCCCGATCCAAGGCGCACCGTCGCAAGGGAGCCCACCCAAGCTCATGCGCTCTGAATGCTGTGGGCTGCAGACAGACCGTTTTAGAAGCGTTTTGAACGCTTCGTCCAGGAATGCTGCGACCCTTTTGATACTGTTATTATAGATGTCTTAACTCGTTCGTATTTTAATAGGTTTCTAATGTGTTTTATTGTGTTTAATGCATTGTAAGCCGCTGAGGGAGGCCTCAGCAGTTACAGGCAGCCTATAAATATATGTATAAATAAATAAATAGTATCTCAGGGGGCATTCTCCTTTCCCATCTTCTATTTATTTATTTATAGTTTTTTATACCATCCTATCACAAACGTCTCAGGACTGTATTAGACAAACAGGTACCACATCCTCAGATAAAACCCCATTAAAACAACAATTAAGACTTGAATTGTTGGGAAAATAAAAAGGGGCTGGCCTGGTGCCGAAAGGAATAAAGTGTTGGCGCCAGTGGAACCTCTCTGGGGAGCGTGTGCCAGAGCCAGGAGGCCACCACGGAGAAGACCCTTCTCTGGGCAACCTCCCCTCCGATCTTCAAAGAGGGCTCCCGAAGAAGGACCTCCAACCCAGAGCGCTGCCCCATGCGCTGTGCTTCCGGCTCCAGGACTCTTTCTGCCCAGACAGACGCTCGGAAATCAGCTCTGTCTCGGCCAGACGCTCCTTTGTGCCCGGCTCTTCCTCAGAGGAACCCCGGCCCCGTAGCTTCACCCCTCCACGGCACTGCAGTGGCAAATTCTGAAAGGCCTTCAGAGCACGTCAGTGCCCAGGCATCTCGTTGGCTTGCGCCACTTATAGCTTCCTTTCTTGGAAAGGGCCTGAGGGAGTGAACATGAGCCTTGTCCTCATTGGTTCATCCTCACAGCAACCCTGTGAGGTAGGCGCACAGAGAGTCAGTGACTGGGCCGAGATCCCCCAATGCACTTTGGAGCCGAATGGGGTCGAGGAGCCAGGGGCCCTCGCCTCCAAGCTACACTGGGTCGCTAGCCGCACAGGAAATTCCAAAAAAATTCCTCGGAGCGTTCACCTCTTGCGGAGGCAGGGATTTTATACAACTCTCACTGTTTATTGCTCCTTCAAGACCTAGCCACCCAAAATACTTTGCACTGCAACACCGGGAGGTCCCAGCCCTGCTCAGTTGCCGGGAAAAAGAGCCCATGTCTGAATGAGGCTTAAGTTGGCTTGGAATTGCATGAGAAAAGAATAAAAATCTATATATTGCTTTTACAAAAGTTCACTTAGGGCTTGTTCCTATGCATGTTTAGACAGGAGAGAAGTCCAAGGGCTTTTTTTTCTGTCTGACCATGTGCAGGATTGCGTCCTGAAGGACTTTGGACGTGAACATGCCAGCCGTTTGGCACGGTGAGCACAGCTTTGCCTGGTCACGTCAAGACCCCGGGAACTGTGGCCATGGGCGCTCCAATGAGCCTGTTTAATAACGGGCAGCCTCATTTGGTCTTGGATGCGACAAGGACCTCCACGGGGCTCGCGTTCTGCTTTCAAGCACAGCTGGCCAAGTAGCCTGGAAAGATGATCTGTATAACATTCTAGAACGTGACTCGTGTTGTGGAGAATGCTTTGCAGAGCATCAAGGAGGGAGTTCCCTGCCCCAGGGAGACTACAGTTTCTGAGACAAAGAGGGAAGGCAGGAATGTTCTCGCTTACATGATAGGGCTTCTCGCCAGTGTGGATCCGGAGGTGACTCTTGAGCGTCTGCAGGTGCCTGAAGCGCGTCCCACATATTTCACATGGATACGGTTTCTCGCCGGTGTGGATTAGAACATGAGCTCGGAGGTGCGCCACCTGATGAAGAGACAGCCGGGTCAGAGAAGCCGCTCTCGGGCCTCGCCTGCAGGGTTCGGTCTTGCAGCTGAGGCGTTCAGACGTGGCCTCAGTCTTTGCTTCTTCTCAGCACTCTGCTTGAACCCACTTCAGCCAGGCTTGAAAGCAGGTATATTTCCACCCCATACCGTGCCGGGGTTTTAAACTTTAGATTCTTCAGAACCAAGGAGAACTATTGGGCCACCCACCCAAAGCTTTGCACCACGAGGGCTGCGTGGCTTGGACTGGTGCCCAAACCAAGCCAAGCAGCCAAGCACACGCTCTCCCAGGAGAACTCCAGCTGACGGAGGTCACCATCCCATGCGCCAGAGCAAATTGAATCCCCAAAGAGCAAGGAAGTGAGACTCCCAGCAGAAGCACAACCATGACAGTGATGCAGGACCACTGGACGAGACCCTCGAGCCGTTGCATCCTGTGGGGCCCTTCCCACGCCCCTTCCGCTGCGCAAGTGCAACTGAGCAAAGGGATAAGACGGACGCATGCGAAGCGCACTGCACATAATGCGACACCCGATGCACAGTCCAGCTTCTTAGGAAGCTCATCTTTATTTTAAAAGCCCACCTTTTCCCTGCTTTGGGCAAAGGGAGAAGCGCCTGCTGAAATGGCAAAGCCGCGAGGGCACAGAAAGGAGGCAGGGCTTGAAAGCCAGGCGTACGGTAGGCGTTCTTCTGGCTCGCCCAGTCAAGCACAAGCGCCAGAATGAAGACACGCCAATCGCAAGGAAAGTAATGGGTCCTCACATGGATAAAGAAAAGGCCCACTGCACGGAAGGGCTGGAACAACGTGGAAAACACGCGCATCTGAGCAGAGCGCCCCGTTCCTGCCCAGGCCAGGTTTCCACGCAGATAACGGGATTGTTCAGGCCTGCCAGGCCAGGTGGCCCAACTGAGCTGACTGCAAAGCGAGCCCCGCCGGTAGCCACTCACCGGCCCAGGGACAGGAAACTGAGCCCAGCCCTGCTGCCAGAGATGCTGGCACCTCGAACCGAGGAAATTCAGCGAGGCTCTGCAGAAAGGGGCCGGGGAACGGAGCATTTGCCCAGAGCAGCCAAGAGCCACCCGGGCGCTGTGCACACACCTGGACGAATCTTGCCCCGCAGGTCTCGCACTTGTAGGGTTTTTCTCCCGAGTGGATCCGTGTGTGAGTCTTCAGGTTGGCTGGCCGGTTGAACTGGGCCCCACAGATGCTGCAGCGGTAGGGCTTCTCGCCTGTCTCGACAAACAGAACGGAGGGCGTTTCAGTGCCGCCGGAAGAGTTTTAAAAAGAAAGTACACGCGATGAGACAAACCAGTGGAGCTCCTGAGAAGGTTCTGCCATGAGGCGGCCTGCTCTGTAAAGCCCCCCACAAGAGGGAACCCCGCAGCGTGCATTTTAGGGGGGCAGACCACCTCGTCTCCGTGGAACGTCACAAAGCTCTAACACCAAAAAAGGTCATAGCAACAGCCGGCTTTAAGTGGGATGTGGGATTATGCAGTTAAAGGCTCTAGTCCTCTGTGTTTGGGCCTCCCAAGAATTCAGGCAGAGGCTAGGTTGCACGTCCTGCTCTTAGCCTCTCTCCAGACCCTTCCTTTGCTCCCGCGAGGCCCATGATGGCACGCCTGTTTCCCAAAAGAGGAAAAGCCAATTTGCAATCCTACACGACCCTTCGCGAGGCTCCTTCCCCCAAGCTCGCTCCAGGCCCTGCCCCTCTCCAGACCACCCGCTTCAGGCCCTTCAGTTGCCACAGATCACAGAGTGCTTCGCAAACTGGCTTTACCAGGCAGAGGTCCCTCCGACCTGACCCGACCCGAACACATGGCTCCCGGAGTGGCTGTCTCCGGCCTGGGGCCCTCCCGGTTTTGGGCCTCTGCCCCAGGATGCCCCAGCCGCCGTGGCCACTGATGGCTGGGGGGGGGGGAGCCGCAGCCCGGCACATCTGCAGGGCACCAGGTTGGGGACAGCCGCTCCCGGGCAGGGGCGCCCTGTCCCTGCCTGAGGCCGCACTTCGCACTGCAGCTGCAGGCGCGCGCTGGCGGCCCCTCGTCCACGGCAGGGACGGAGGCTTCCCATGCCAGTTGCCGCTCCGGCCAGGGCAGGGGGGACGCCGGCTGCTGGCAGGGCCGCCTCTCCCTCCCCTGGATTTCAGGACGAGGCCGTGGGCTCGGGCACTCCAGTCGGCCCTGCGTCCCAGGTGATTTCTGGTGCTCCGGACCCGCCCAGGGCAAGCAGGTGTGAGGGGGTCTACGGGGGCGAACCAGGAAGAAGCCCTTTCTGCTCCACCTGCCACAGGCCGGGAACACCCGTGGCCTTGAGTCGTGACTCCTCGCCATTTGGCTGGTGGGCGGCAGCCGGAGCCCGGTCATGTGGGGGGCGCCTCAGGTCCCCGGCTCTGCCCCGCAAGCGAGGGGCCGCACTCGGAAGCCCGCCGCCCCCCGGGCCGTACCTGTGTGGACGGTCTTATGGCTGGCCAGGTTGCCCTTGTAGCGGAAGGAGGCCTGGCAGCGGTCGCACTTGTAGGGCTTCTCGCTGTGCGATTGGAGAGCGTGTCGCTTGAGCGCTGCCTCTTCCGAGAACCTGCAGTGGCACTCGTTGCAGAAAAAGGTGCCGTTTTCTGTCGGAGACCGAGAGGAAGGGGCGCAGGTGAGACGGGCCGGCCGGAGGTGCGCGGCGGGGTCGCTTGCCGCCTGCTCCCGGGGCGCTCGGGGGCTCTCCGCGCACGGGCTTGCCCAGGGTCGCCACTCCCTCGGCAGCTTGGTGCCGGCCGGGGACACGCGGGGCCTCGGGGTGGGTGGTGGGCCGGGCAGGGGCAGCGGGGCGCTGGGCAGGGAGACCCCGGGAGCGTGTGCCCAGCCTATCGACGCCCGAAGCCCAGGCAGGGCTGCTCCTGGAAAGACGGAGGAGGGCACATCTGGCTGCAGAAAGTCAGGTTTGCACAGCACCGTGTGATCCGATGGGACAACAAGACAGCCTTATCCCGCCCCCCCCACCCCTGCAACACGCAGCCCTAAAAGGAGGCTCTCCACTGGACATCCCTGAAGCCAGAGCAGAATCACATTCCGACGATCCCATTCGGTTGTGCGGAATTTTCAGTCCGCACCATTTCTCAACGGTTCCCAAGTGTTGGCCTCCTGGGTTTTGAGTTTGGAACCGGAATGAAAAACCCTCCGGTTCACCCACCTCTATTTCCACAAATTATCTGGGGGAGCAAAAGGTACCCTGGAAATCTATGGGGGGGAGCGGGGGCAGGGCCCCGCAACCCCAGGCCCCCATCCAGGCATTCTCACTCAGACCGAGCGAGCTGCAAGGGATGGCCTTCAACCCACCAGAGACCGGTTTGGGGGTGCCGGACCCCCCGCAGTGGCTGGAGCACGTGCGAGGAGGTTCAGGCAGGGGCGAAGCTGCTCGCAGTTCAGCAGGCTGGAGACTTACCGCAACTGGAGTCCGAGTACTCGGATTGCGTTTCGCCCATTTCCTCTCCGAAATTCGAGCCGGGGGTGTGAAGGCACATCTCAGAATGCTGGGGGGACTGCGACCCACAGGAGCTGCACTTGGACGAGTGCAGGTAGAGCGGAGACTGGCCCTCGCTGCTCTGCGGGGACCCGTCCAGGGACCTGCCCGAGAGAAGGCGTGCATCAGGAGGCGGCCTCCCGTCCGCGCCGGGCGGCCAGCGAGCCCTGCCTGGTCAGTGGACACGCTCCGAGGGCGACTGGGGAATGGGTGCCCCCAGGCGGGACGGGCTCACTCCTCTGGCTCCCGTGGGGCTGGGTGGACTCTCCGTCGGCCGTCGCCACCCTGGCACCCTCCAGACCCGCCGGATGGGAACGCAGCCCCCCGTGCTGTGGGGGGACGGCGACTCTGAGCTGACTCGCAGCCCCCCGCCCCGGGACGCTGCGTACCTGTTGACGATGTTGTTCAGCCTGCTGGCTTGAGGGATGGTGGAGTCCTCGCCGCTGAGGCCCATCTTGGTCGGGGAGTGCCCGTCCAGGCCGTCCGGCTCCATCGACTGCTGGCAGGTCAGGGCCGGCACGAAGGCCCGCGGGGAGAGCGTGCCCGGCTCGCTCTGCTCGGGGCCCTCCTGCCTGGCGCTCTGGTTCAGCGAGTTGAGCACGATGAACTTGTACTTCTTCCAGTTGCAGGCCTTGGGGTCGGTGGGGCTCTTGGCCGACAGGGCTCCGGGGCTCGGGCCGATGCAGGCGTTCTTGCTGCTGCTGGACTCGGTGGGCGAGTTGGGCTGGCAGTCGGACTTCTGCGGGCTCTGCGGGCTGACCAGCACCTTGCGGTTCACGGGCGCGTTGGACGGCTCGAAGCGCTGGCCCACCTCGTCCCCCGCGGGGGGTCGCTCCTCCTCCTTGCCCGCTTTGTCGCAGGCGAAGTAGGCGCTGCCCCGGGCCAAGGGGGCCGCCGGCTTGTGCCCGGCGGCCGCGCCGCAGTGCTTGTCACTCTTTGCCTCCTCGGCGGCCGCTTCTTTCGGAGAGAAGACGGCGTTGTGGCACAGGCTGGGGGAGACGTCGGCCGCGGATCGGGTGTATTCGGCAGCGCCCGTCCGGGAGGTGCTGCACGGCAAGGCTCGTTCCCTCGGGAAGGGGTTGGCTCGCGGAACGTCCGGCAGGGGCATCCGGGCCTCTCGCAGGTCTTCCTCCGAGAAGAGGTAGTGACTGACGGGCAGGGTGTTATATCCAGTGTAGGAGACGGGGGACCCCGACAGGCCGCTGTACAAGGCGGGGACAAAGGCCCTCCCTTCGCAGAGCGGCCCGCTGCGGAGAGACAGGCCGCTCTCGGGCGCCTCCCGGGTCCGGTAGGTCATCATGTCGGGGTGGCTCAGCATCCGGCTGGCTAGAAAGTCTTCCCGGGAAGTCTTCACGCCGGGCACCATCTCCGTGTCACTGAACAAAGCCGGGAGGCGGGGAGGAGAGAGGAATGTCAGAAGGATCATTTAGAGATTGCCGGCGATCCCAACACGCATTTTTCCTTCTCTGCCATGGAGAAGGATGTGGGAAGACCAAAGTGCTGAAAGGGAGAACGGACTCGGGGCATGCGTCTAGGGATAGGAGGGGCCCTCCCTGAAATCACATAAAACACACAGGACTTGCTCCGGGAAATAATGAAGTGGGATCCAAGGACTAGATCACTGTGGGGTAGTCTACCAATCGGAAGAGCCGTCTTGGATTTCCTTCCATGCCTCCCCTTACAAAGATGCAAAGCTGAAGTCTTTTTCTTCGAAATATTAGAGACCAAGCCAACTGCTTGGCGATGCCCCGGTTCAGAGGGCAATCCAGAAAGAACGGGCCGGGACCACCTTCTCGGATACCACAGGGTGTCTGGTGGACCCGGAAGGCAACGACGTGCCCTGCCCAATTCTGCACGTGCTTAGTGACACGCTTGGCACAAGGCAGAAGCACGGTGGGGCGCGTGAAGCTGGCCATCGCTCCAGGTGGGCATCCCTGGCCAGCATCCCTGGGATGCGGAAGGAGAAGGGGGCCCTGGGGATGGGGGAGTGGGAGGCCAGGCAGAGGCCTTTGAGGCCCCCTCCGCATCACTGCCTGCAGGTCCCGGGCTGACCGGGAGCGTGGAAGGTTCTGGCAGGGGCTGGAGGAGAGGAGGAGGAGGAGAGCCCTTGCCTTGCTGCCACGCCAAGGCACCAGGAGAGAGGAGCGGCCCAGCTCGAGGGCATGCGCAGGCCTCGCCAGCCGCCCCATTGCCCACAGGAGCCACCCTGGCAGAGCAGCCCCAGAGCTGCTGAAAGGGGCGGACTCTGGAGGAGGGCCAGTCAGGCTCAGCCTTCTGGACACGAGCAGAGGCCAAGCGTCCGACTCGCTGCAGGGCTTGAGAAGCAGCTTTGCCTTGGAGCCATGGAGTGCCTTGCAAAGGGGTGCCTGGGGTTGGGAGCCGACGGGCACGGAGGGGGAGCCTGGCTCACGACAGACAACATGCCGGCCGGCCCTCTTTTTCATCCGGATGCCTTGCGGAGCCCAGCTCGGCCCCTCATGCGCATCCTTTACTCGGGGACAGGCGGTGTCAGCAACGCGGGGCGAGCAGTGGGACCTGGGGCGCCCCACGCACCCCCGCCCTCGCTGCGACGCTGTGCCCACCTCGAGCTGACAAGCCTCCGGCAGGTGTCCACGACGTGCTCCATCTGCAGGTAGAGGGCGGTGGTCATGACGGCCATGATGTTGCTCTCTCGCAGGTTGAGGCGGGAGGTGTACATGAAGTCCAGGAGGATGCCGAAGCCCTCCGGGTTGATCTCGGGGTCCAGGTTGATGACATTCAAATTGCACTTCAGCTGGTCCGTGAAAATGCTGTAGAAAAGGCCACTGGAGGGAGGGAGGGAGGGAGGGAGCTGCGTCTCAGGAGGGCCAGCGCCATGGAACACGGACCGGTGGAGTCGGAGGGGGCACGAAGGCCACCGGGCCAAGCCCCTGCTCTGGCCCCCTCTCAAGCCAAGCCGCCCCCTCAGAGGGCTGCCCAGTCGCACTCGAATGCCTCCAGGTGGGAGAGCCCCCCACCTCCCCGGGGCAGGGGCTCCGTGGCCCTCCTGCTCCAGGAGTCAGGAAGCTCTTCCCGACGTCCGACTGGACCCTGGCTTCTTGTCACTTGAGCCCGTTGTTCTGTGTCCTACACTCTGGGATGACTGAGAAATCTTGTCCCTCCTCTTTCAAGTATTTGAAAAGTACTGTTATATTTCCCCTCAGTCGCCTCTTCTCAAGGCTAAACATGCCCAGCTCCTCCCATGTCTCCTCCAAGAGCTTCGTCTCCAGTCCCTGGGTCATCCTTGTTGCCCTCCTCTGGACTTCTTCCAATTCGCCTACATCTTTTTTGGTAGTGGGGTACCCAAAAGTGGACACAGTACTTAAGAGGGGGTCTAACTAGTGCCAAACAGAGGGGAACAAATAGCCTTGGGGAGGCAGGATCCAGAATGATCCAAGCTACACTTTTCATGGTACCGGCTCCTGGGGAGGGTGGGCCATTTTGCTGATTCTCACAGTGTGACCCCTTACACTGTAGCAGAGAGTCAGTCCCCTTGAGCAGGTCAAGCCTTACTTTGGATAAGCGTGCGGAGTTTTATGCAGCCCCAAAGCTTATCTTTTTGCCTCCAGACCCCTGCACAGCTCCCCTCTTGGGGAGGGATTCCAGCTCGTTCACTGCCACACGGCCCAAGAAGTTCAGGCAGCGGGTGGGCTTGAGGCATCGCAGTTCTCTGGGTGGAGTGGGGGGCACAGCCTCCTGTGGACCAGCTCCCAGGGGCTTCGTGCACACTCCCCTTGCCCCGCCACACCGAGACGGACGCATGAGCATGTGCCGCTCGCCTCAGCCCCGCCTGCCCTCCCCCTGGATCTGCCCCATCCTCACCTGCAGGCCATGAGGACTGTCTTGTGGGCTCGGAACTGCTCCCGGTTGACGATGACCACAACGTCCGTCAGGATGTCCCTGCTCCTAAGGCGATTGAGATTGAGGAGGACATCGCTGGCGTGCCGAGTGAACTGGATGCAACTGTCTGCCGGGGAGGCCATCTTGGGTCCGTCCTGGAGAGAGACAGGCCGTGAGCACTGCGGGAGACACCCCAGTGGCCGGCGGCTTGCTTGCCCGCGAGCACATGGGCAGGGAGCGCGCCTCATGCAGTGCGGCGAGCCGCTCGGTGGGATCACACCCAGGGGGCCGCAGCCCCTGCCCTTCCAACCGGGCCCCATCGGCTCCCGGGGCGTTCACTGGCACACCTGCCAGAAGTCGCTGGCCAGGTTGTTCTTGCATTTATTCTCTTCACTATGTGTAATTCACCCAGAGAGCAGATTAAAAATACATCGATGATTCAAGGCATTCCCACACAGCAAGTGCCCAAGCCGAGCCAGAGTGAAATGCACCAGCCGGACCAAGACTGCAGGATCCGTGCTCTGGCCACGCAAGGCGGCACCTGTAACTGTGAAGGCAGCGGCTCCCTGGCTACTCGAGCTGCAGAAGTGCAGGGTGACCGCTGCCCCGAGCCCCGAGCGAAGAGCGAGCGATCTGGAAACGCAGCTCTGGCCGGCAGAGGGGCAGCTGGTCCAGGAAGGCGACGCCGTGTTTGGAAAGCCCCCAAATAGGCACCCAGTAAGAAGGGGCTTTTCCAAGAATGGGCTCTCCGTGAAGCTCTCTCCTGGGTACGTGTGTTTCAGGCTCATGAGCTATCCAGCGTCCCCTTCCCCAGTTCCTACAACGTGCCAGACTACAACTCCCACAATTCCCATCGCATCGGAGGGCCTCGGACTGGGGAAGGCAAAGCTCAGACTTCGAGGTCGGGCGGCTAATGGCAGCTGGGGTTCTACTGCTTCTTGTGGTCTTTGGAGGGCCCTGTTTCGTTCAGGGCACCATGGGGGTGTTTGGTGTTATTTGTATTTGACAGCTTGGAAGCTGGTCTGGGGATCACGTGGGTCAAAAGCCAGTGTTCTAGACATTTAACACTAGCTAAGATAACAAATATTGCCAGGTAGATCCTGCCAGGGGTTACCCAACGGCCCAGCTGACTTCCAAATGCTCAGTGATCGCATCTACTAGACGCACCCCGTTCATTCCCATCAATAAGCGATGAATATGTAAGGGGTCATGCTTGTTTTTAGTCAAGAGATGCCTAATATGGAATCCCAGTGAGCCCAGTAAAACATTTCATTTGGTAGGCTTCTTAATTAATCTGAACAAGAGGTTACATGGACCTACCTTGTGCTTCAGTTCAGAGTCCAAAAGTTTCTTTCAGACCTATGGAGACAAAAAACAGATACTGCTTTTAAAAGGTGGAAATCTGAGAGAAAGTCAGGAGCCATTCCACTTCTTATATTCTGCTCTGGGAAGTACGAAGTTGAGCTGCAGCAGGTTCGACTTGCTACGATAGTGAGGGATGGGGGAGAAATCCACGACAGATCTGGATTTCTCCCCCAGTAATGCCATTACTGGCATTACTTGGCATTACTAAGACTGTGGATTTCAGTTTCCTCCATCACATGGATTCTGCAATCTGGCCAAGCACTTTTTAAAGAGTTTCCATCATTTATACAAATCTAGTTGACTTTTTTTAAATGCTCACTTCCCCCATAGACTCAAGGATGAAGATGTGCATGGGCAAATTTATATATTGTGTGCATTTCTGGAAGTGCAAAAGTGCAGAGGCATGTGAATGCATTTCTGCAAACTCAGATTTCCTCAGTGACCAGATGCCGGAATGAGAAGCACCAGACAGGATATATTTATCCAAGTCCAGCCCTAATGATAACATCTTCTGGATATCATGACATGATGAGCAATATCGTCAGTGTTTTTTCAAAAGAGCAAATAGTGAAAGGAGAGGGCAAGCAAAGCTTTTTAGCACAGAGCGACCATGAGGGTTTCGACATCCTGCAACCCAAGGCATGGCACAGAATTCCCTAGTTCTGCAAAGCTCTTGCGTCCCCAAGGCCCTTCTCAAAAGTGGGGTATTCCACTCGCAGAGTCGAGGACGCTCCGCGTTCTGCAGACTTGGAGACGTGGTTTGCCGTAAGCGAGGAGGCATAGCAGGGACATGCGGGGAGAAGCGAGTGGCCAAGGCAGCTGAAGGAGGAGCCCGGGGCATCACGTCGCATTCCAGGACTTGAACCCGATCTGCAGCTCACGGCTCAACGTCTTTACCGGCTACCGCAGCGACGGCACCTTGCTATGGCACCGCACTGCATCGTATCTCCCCGAGGCCACTCTTGTAGCCCAGTCCATAAAAATGGGCCACATCCTGCAGGAGGAATGCGGGGATCTGATATCCAGTGCCGGCATTAAAATCTGTGCGACCAGGATTAAAGAGGCACAGCTGACAACTGATTAAAGAGTCCAGCTTGGAATCTGGCTGGACCCGGGAGCATCAGACTTCGGGGTGCAGAGACGAGGCGTCCAACTTTGGGGTGCAGCAACCTCTTCACTGCTCCTCTGCTCATCAAACCAACCGCCTTGAACAAAGTGGGGCAGGGAAGAAAAGAGACACAACGGATTGGAGTGCACATCCCCTGGCCAGGGGCTGCTGGGAGCTGTAGTCACACACACCTAGTTTGGGGAAGGCCGTAGCATCGCATACACCAGTCTGGCTTGGATGGCTTGCAGTAGGGACGACAGTGGAGGAATCACTGGAGAGTTTTGCTCTGCACGCCCGATCGACTTTCTTCCGCAGCTTCTGTTGGATGAATGGTAGAGCCATCCCTAAAGCAGGTGCAGCTGGAACCAAGTATGTTCGCCCACTGGCTCTGTTTCCCTTCCCCTGCTTTCCTTTCCCCCCAGTGTCAGAATTACATCCCGCAAGTTCCGTGAGGCGAGCGCTTTCTCTTTTGCACTCCGTAAAGCCCTGAGCCCACCGGAGCCCTGCGTGCACGAGGTCCCCCAGCGCATGGGGGGACTCCAGGTGAGGCAGCTTCCTCGGTTCTAATGGGGACCTCTGGGGAATCTCAGACCCATTTGCACAAGGCCGCGCTCAAAATGCGTGCAGCCATCACGTGATTTTTCCCAAGTGTGTGACAACCAAACGCTTTTCGGATGCCGATTTGCAGAATGCCACGATTCGCACAACATTCCCTCGCGTTTTTGTAATGTTTAGAGACGGAAACCACAAGCAAAGCAAGCGCACGCACGGAACCCAATGGTCCCCCCTGGCCTGCGCCCCACTGGAAGGGTACAGGAGGCCGACTGACCTCAAATGCACTGGACTTCCCAGAATCAACAGGCCTTCCTGGGCTACTGGAAGAAGTTTTGCCAGTTCAGACTTTTAGAGAAACTGACCCGAGCGACGGTGTATTGAGAAACAGCACCAGTTTCTGTAAGGCTGGCAGAAGCGTTCCCACAACGTGGGTGCCAAACGGCCCCACTTCCCAGGGCGCGAGTTTCCGTCAGTTTCTAAGGGGAAACTGCCACCCACTCCCTACTTCTCTTTTCTGGCCGTGGCATCCAACTGCGCGCCAGGGAGGCAGGGAGAGAAGGGTGGGCATTAGCCTGGCGCTGGCACTCTGTCCTGCTCCAGTCCCAGAGACAAGTCCGATTCCCTGGGCCATCCTTTCTCTTTCACCCACTTCTACCTGAAGTCCCCTTTTCCCATGAAAGTGGAACATGGGACCAGGAAAATGTCACTTTCCTCACATCTGGGTAGTAAGAGACAGAGAGCGATGCTGCTGATACTTTTCGCAAATCGATTAAAAACCGAGGAGATTGCTTTGTGGTGGGGGCTGCATTTGCTTTCTCTATAGATTTCTGTAGCACGTATCATTGAAAACAAAATTATGGAGGTCGGACATTCATGCCCATTTTACAGATGGGGAAAGCTGAGGCCAAGGGAGCCAGAGGAGCCCAGAGACCCATGTAGGTATTTGAAAGCCTCTTCCAAGGCCCAACATACAATCTCAGTTGCAAAATACCACTTCTCCTTTTCAGAAGAACTAGTTCTACTTTTCTGTAAGCCTCAATGGGGGAGAGCAAATATTTGTAGATTTTCACAGCAGCTTTCAAAATGCTTAGCCGGTATCTTTGGAAGACTGAACTATCTCTCACACACTGGCCTGGTTCACTTGTATGTACAACCCAGAGTACAGGTGAAGTGTGGGTTGTGTTTGAATCACGAGGCATCCTTACCTGCAAAATCTTCACTATAGCTTAACATGAACAGCCAAAAAAAAGCCATCGTTTACTCCTGGCTTATTGACTTGAGGTTGTTCATGGTTCATGCCTCATCGTGTGCAGGGTTCATATGTGATGACAACCCATAATTCAATAGCCCATACCAAACCCATTCTATGGGTTGTTGCTATGAGAAAAGCAGCACTGTGCTTTGCTCTCAACCCGTCCTCCCATTTCCCATGGTCAGGCCACGTACTTGTGAGCTACTCCATTGCAAATAGAGTGGATTGGGCCCCATGAGTTCTACTCCCTTTCTTGCCTTCTTCTGCCATCCCTTGGTTTGCAAAAATTCTCCCTGGCCAAGGAAGGACCTCCTTTTAAAATGGGCCAGTTCCACGCAGAGGGTCCCCTGAGAGCTTTGACAATCTCTGTACGCGCTCCGGCGCCTCCTCTTTGGGCTTCTTTGCCGGAGCTCCACGAAAGAGTCACAAAGGACCGGCGGGCCTCTCTTCTGCTCTGCCCGCAGGGTCTACGGCTCCACTGCTTATGGACTGGGATTTCCCCTTATCTATCCCCAATATCAAAGCTAGGCAAAGTCAAAGGCTGAAGAGGAAGACGGAGACTCGCTCTGAAGAGAGTACCAGCAAATCCAGTGGGGCTAAGCCCCAAGGGGAACCTGGGCTGCCAACGGATGCACTTGGAACCTGTGCTCTGGGAGCACCCTGGACCGACAGAAGGATGGGAAGCGGGTCCCGGATGAAGTCAAGCCAGAGCTTTCCCTGGAACAACACCGAACTGTTGTCCTATGGGCACATCCTGACGGAGGAGGCCATCGTGCTGGGGAAAGCGAAGGCGGAAGAGGAGGAAGGCCAGCTAAGGAGGGATGGGCTCCAGCAAGGAAGCCACAGCCTTGAGCTTGGAAGGGCTGAGCTGGACGGTCATGGATGGGATACCCTGGAGGACTTTCACTCATGGGCCACCGTCAGTCGGAGACCACCGAACGACACATCACAACATCACCAACATCCCTTCTCAGCGACCGCTCACCGACCCGACAGGCTGGCTCCCTTTACCACTCCTCACTCACACAGGGCGCCTGTTCTTCTCCACCCTCGTGGCATTCAAGCGCCACCATTTGCCACCCCCCGGGGTGCCTCCAGAGGGACCGTTTATGGTGCCCTCGCAGAAGTTCTACAGGCTGTCCAGACACCATCTTCCACCCATAACCCTCCCATCGCCTCCCGTGGCTCCTTCTGCCCTTCTCTCTGATTAACAAAAGACCTATGAAGGGAGAGAGACGGAAGAGCTGCGGGGTGCCTCTGTCTGGGGGCGCCCCGCCTTCACATTCCGGGCGGGAATGCCAGCTTTCTGACCACAAGAGGGCGCTCCTGCATAGCGAGCCGCCAAGTCTGGTTTGAGCAATTCCTTTCATTTCAGGAATGCGTAGCAAAGCGATCTTGCAGTTGTGTACCGGCTACCCACACTTCAGCTGGTGCAACAAGACTCATGTTTGCAACTTACACACTCTCCAGGTGGAGCCGAAAGCTCCCAGAGTCTGCCTCGCCAACCCACTCCCTGCCTTTAAACTACTCCGGTGACTTAGCAATGCCTAATTTCGATTTATTCTTACACTAACAGAAGCTGGTTAGATGGAGATATTTTAGTGGCCTCCCAGCAACCTGGTGCCAAGAAAGTAAAAATAACCAGGCGATTTCTCATCATGTGTGAGTCCACCAAGATATTATAGAGATATCTTGGGCCGAGAAATTCAGTGCAATCGTGGCTTCAGCCAATGAATTGCTCTGGGCTGCACGGGAATGTCAGTTTTGCTCAGAAAACACACACAAACAAATTTCTTAGTTCAGCCAAATCTCCCCTCTGTAATCTATGGAGAAAAGCTGTAAAATGCAGAAAATGGTACATACTGGGGGAAATTTGCTCACTGCTCTATTTCTGCAATTTTCTGTGCAGGAAAAAGGCAGTCCATAAATATAATAAGCAAATAAACATACTACGAAAGCTGCATCTTAAAACAGTTGGTAAAATATGCCAGCATTCTTTGTGTTGGCAAACTGAGATTACAAAGGACCCTGCGCAGAACTGTTTATTTATTGGTTTTCTCCATCGCCAAATGGCCGGAACCAATTTTTTTTTTTGAGTTTTGTACAACCAGTCCATGAGTTTTAGGCAATCTCCAGGGAACACACCCTGTTTTTCATCTGAGATAGCAACAGGGCTGCCAAATACCTCTTCTCTCTGGGCAGCTCGCAAAGCATGAGATGCAGCAATTGTCAATCGATCAAAGATAGCGTATTATCCCCAGACTAGCTTCACTGCTTCATTTGGGTATGCAGAACACATGCACAGTGGCTTAAAAGTCAAGAGTGCAGATTGTTAAAGGCCTGGGAGAATAAAGCTTTGTTCAGACACAAGCGGGTGCCCAGGCAAAGCAAGAGAGCCCTCCCTCGAAGGAAGCGATGCTACTTTATAGGGCAGAGGCCTCCATGACCAGAGAAGCTCCTATTACCCAAGAGGGCTTTGTCGCCCACAGACGCTCAACTTTCTCCTGGATCTCACGGGCTCCAAGCGGGGGCTGCGGGTTGTGCCTGGGAGCGTAGCCCACAAAGGGAGCCTGGCGTGCGTTCCAGAGGAACCCAAGCGGAGCCCTTCGGACGGTCTCTTGCGAAGCTGCCCCCGGACTGCGGGAGGGCCATTCCTGGTCCAGAAGGGCCAACGCTTGCGGGAGCTTGGCGGGCACCCTGAGCTGTGCCCAGGCAAACTCCCTCGTGGTTCCCCAGAAAGTGGCTGCGACACACGCCGCGATGCTCCCACGGGGCAAGAAGACTGGGCCTGGGACCGCTGGCTGCCCCCACTGCCAGGGAGCGGGCGTCCTCTGCCGGGCGGCCTTCCCTGCTCGCCGCGGGAGATCACCGGGCCGGGACGCACGTCTGGACGGGGCGGGCAGCAGGCGGCAGCATCGGCGGAGAAGCGCAAAGCAGCTCCGCTCCCCGACTCGGCCCCTCCTCCGCCCCTCGCTGCTCCGACCGGGGCTTGCAGGCTGCCGCAGCGCTACTCTCAGGCTCCCGCGTGATCCGGTTTCCTGCCAAAGCACAGAATGGCTTCGAGGAAACGCAACAGAAGAAGGCTGGATATTGTCTGCCTCCGACCAGGAAAAGGCACGTGGCTTCCACCGAAGGCACTGAAAGGAGGCCGGGCCGGGCCGGGCCGTGGGGGAGAGGGGCATCTGGCGGAAACCTGAGTCGGGAAGGGGGAACCTCCAGGGGCTTCCCGCGCTCCCTCCCTCGTCTGCTCCCCGGCTCCAGCTCCACAGGGCCCTGGAGCGCCCCAAAGCCGTCTGAGTGCATCTCCCCTGAAGGTGCTTTTCCACCCAGCAAGGCAGCTGAGAAACGGACCTGCGCACCCCTTAACCGCCTGCCGTGGGGTTGGCGCGGGAACCAACAGGCCGTGCGCTTCGCAGGCAGGTGGCCCTGCGGCTGCTGCTCTGCCCGCCTGCCTGCCTGCAGTTAAGACGGCCGAAGCCAAGAAGAAGGTGGAGGACCTCCACCCGAAGCCTCGGAGAATCCCTGCCAGCCGGCAGGTAACGCTCCCCTGAGCTGATGCCTCCAGATGTGTGACACTGCAATTCCCATCATTCCCTGCCAGCCCGGCCAATGGCCCCTAGCCGTGCTGGGAGGGGATGATGGGAGCACTATCCAGCACACCTTGAGTGTGCCAGGTTGAGCAAAGCTTCCAGCAGCCTGTGAGGCGTATGAGCACATCTGTTGAACAGGAAGGTCCACGGGGACTTGTTTTTCAAAGACGTGTTTATTTATTTTAATTATTTTTAGGCTGGCTTTCCAGACAGAGGCCTCCACCCCAGCATGAGACACAGCTGTCTTCGTTCCCCACGACGCGTCCGCACAGCTGCGACCGGTGACAGAGGACAAGGGCTGAGTGACGGCGCCCTGCTCGGTGTTTACCTGCAGAGCCCAGCGCTCCGTGCAGGTGTGAACGGCATCGCTGCATTAAGGGTGCACCCAGTCCCCGCGCAAGGGCTAAGCCGCACCGTCTGCCACTGCGGCAGAGGGTGCCCACCAGCTGCCCAGGCCATAAGAGCCGCCCTGGCGCCCAGCTCCTGCTCCGGGTGAACTTGGACGCAGGCACGGGGGCCGTTCCCCGGCAAAACCATTTCTCCGGCGTAATGAAGGGGATTCTTCCCAGAATTCCTGACTGCTGCCCGTGCTTCCCGGGAGTGGAGGGGGAGGCGCCGGAGTGCAGGGCAGCTTGGTTTACAGCGCCTTCCATCTCCCCAGGATGGGGGAGTCCACGCACCCCACTAAGAGGCTGCCAGATCCCATTCCCGGTGGAACCGGGCCCAGACGATTGACTGGAAACTGGGGCTGTGCCCTTAGTTTGCCAAGGGAAACAGACGCCGCATCCAATACGCAGCGGCAGTGTGAGAATGCATCCGTCCCACGGATTCCTCAGGCTGCAAGTAGGGGGGAGAACCACTTCACCTGCTCTAAACAGGAAATGTGGGGTGTTGATGTGCTTGGAATCCAAGGCGGATTCAAAACAAAACGGAGAAGTTCGGCGTGTGCGTGGAAACAATGTGGTCATGTAGATCCGGGGCAAACACGGCCTCTGCCAGGCACGGAAAATGCATGTGTTTCCTCATATTACGTCGGCTGGCTCTGCAATGCTTTTCATTTTACTGTTTTTTTTGTCATCAGCCCTATTCCCACATTATTCCAGGATGCCGCTGTCCCAGCACAGCACGGCTGCCTGCTCCTGCCTGGCCTCGCCATTCTGCGCCCGGGTGCACACCCCTTCCTACAGAAACAGCGGCAGAGGCGGGGGCAGCGAAGCCCCCGAAGGCCAGAGAGAACGAGCGAGGTCTGCCGCACATGGCAGAACCCCCCCCCCCCCCCGTGCCCACCAGTCCTGGAGGCAAGAGCGATGCCATGAAACTGGAGCAGAGGGCGGCTTTCTCTTAGACAGGATGTCCATGCCGGACAAGGTGCTTCCTGAACCAAGAGGTCATCCTCTGTGGCAGAGAGCCATGAATTGCGAGCCCCTGCCGCTCGGGGCTCTGCCCCAGTCTTCTCTAACCTGGTGCCCTCCAGCGGGCTTGGGGAAGGCGGGCCATGCTCACCCTTCCACCCCCTGCCGCCCCCCAGGCCAAATGTCGCCTGCTCTGGAAGCTACCCAAGCCTTGCCATAAAAGAACTGGGCATTTCCCGCTGCCTTGAAAGGACGAGAAAGTTCCTTGCAGCCCCCGCCCCCCAGGCCTGTGTGGACAAGCCACTGGTCCTTGGCCCTCGGTTGCTTGACTGCAAGCGGCACGACTTGCGTGTTCTCCTTGCTGGTTAAAAAACAGGAGGAAAGAAGAAAAGGCTGGCCACCTCGGCCTAGCGGGGAGCGTGTGGAGGAAAGCGGGACCAGCTCCGACTGGCGAAATACACAGCAGCGCCCGGGGTCGCCCCCAAGGGACAGGTGGGGAGGGAGCGCCCCACGGCACAGGCAGAGTCCCTGGCTGCGTTTGGGGGCAGCTGCCCACCTGCGCCGTGGGAATGCCAGGGACCCTTGGCAGCCCTGGACCCCAAAAGGAAGGAAGGAAGGAAGGAAGGAAGGAAGGAAGGACGGAATCGGGATCATTGCTTCTTTCGAGGTCAAGGAGCCGAGTCAACCCTAAAGCAGCCCTCGGCCTTTGCAACGAAGTCCTGGCATTTGGTCTTTGCTGCCGTTCCACGGGTCAGCTCACCTGCCCCAGTCCCAGCCCACCCGGGAAAGGTCTAGCTTTAATCTCTGGAGCTGGTGCGGGCTCAGTTTGAGACCGCCCTGCCTGCACCTCCGCCTCTTCCATCCCGCCTGCAGGTTGCCACGTCCACAGCCACATCTGTGCAGGGGCGTCCTTGCAAGCAATTCCTGCCCACACTCCCACGCAAAATGGCGCACGGACGCAGAGGCACAGCGGTCGTGTGGAGGCAAACGCCGAACACCCGCGGCAGGCATCACATGCCCAGAAGTTTGAGCAACATCTGGAAGCAAGCGCGGGAGAGTGACAGATTACGAGCACATCTGCACCGCTGCCCAACTGCAGCTGGGTTATTGGAATCTGGGACAAAATTCAGAAAGGGAACGTCATAGACAACACCCCGCTTCTCTCCCGCTGCACGACTTCTGCCTTTCCTTAACCGGCTTGCTGAGGGACACTGGGCCTGGGAACTGAGGGTATCTAGGCCTGGGGGAAGGCAGGGAGACACACTCCAGGCATTACCCAGGAAAGCCTCCACTGGACCTGCCTTCCGGAGGAACATGTAAAAGCCCACGAGTAAATCAGAGATTCACAAGTTTCACCTCTGAGCAGAGGGGAAATGCCTCCTGCAGCAAAATCATTTCTCACAACAAAGAAAGAAACAAAATAAGCAAAAGCACCCAAGAAGTTTGAGAGATTCGAGTTTATGTCTCCAATATTGCAAAACAGAACAAATCCAATTCGAGGGATGAGTTAGGGAAATTTGCACTGCACAGACGTTTGAGGGGAGGGGTAAAAGTTTGGGGTGCACTGCATTTTTCTTAAAGCCGCCACTCGCCCAGAAATAATAGTCATGTTCGCCAGTAAAAGCATGACTCGGTGGCCAGGAGCACTTCCCCAAAGCCATCTCACCCTCCCCAACTCGCTCCAGAAAACCACAAACAAAACTGATCCAAAAGGCAAAGCGAAAGTTTGCGGGACACAAATGCAAAATTACACATCAGCTACGGTAAAAACACCAACACTGCAAGATCGCACATTGCTAAAAGATTTCTTTTTGCAACAGACAAGCGCCTACTCAGCTTCATTTAGAACTGGCTGGGTATGCGCAAGATGGAAAAACTGCAAAATGCCCTCCAGTTGGCCGTGCCAGGAAGCCCCTTGGCTCATTCCCAAGGCTGCCACCACTCGCCAGGTTGACCCAAATGGATCACTGGCACCACCTGGGGTCCTGGGCACTTGGCCCATTCAGTTCAATAGAAGGGTTAAGCAAGTTCTCACATCAGCACCACTGAAAGCCACCAGACGCAAACAGGCTTTAATGCCGGCACAATGTTGCCCGTGGAATCAGATTTTCTGAATTATTTTTTTTAATGTATTTTAGGAAAGCTTTCAAATGCCCTGCTGGCTTTGCAGGACTCCATGTTTGGTTTCTGAATAAAACTTCGCCACTGAACACCAGCTATACCCAGCCTTACCTCTTTAAGCTCGAGAACTCCATGTCTTAGAATTCGCCAAGCTGGGGCAGCCAAGAAGTGCTGGCCAGCCCAGGAGTTGTCTTGCACAAGTCCCACTGAAAGGAGTCAGCCCTGCTTTCGTACCGCTCCTGCTCATTTCAGTGGGGCTTGCGCAAGAAGAGGTAGGAGAGGATGGGGCCCCAGGTTGATTTCTTCTCCTCTGAAGGATGATCCCCAGGCCTGGATAACATGATTTTCATGCATCCACTTAACACTTTAAAAAAAACAAGTTTCAAAGTTCCTCGTCATTTGACATTGCTTCCTTGGCCGAATTAATTCGATGGAAGCCCTTAACTAGAACATTCAGCAGCTGACAAGCATCAGAAAACGCAGCACTGAGGAATCACGGCATGTTTCCTTCTGCAGCCTGAGAACCAGTCCAGAGCGTTAGCTTCCAATAAGGAACTGCAGCAATGAATCAGAAGCTTGCAAAGCTATGCTTTTTCTCTAGGCACCTGGTACACTTTCAGGGCCGGCAGCGGGGGAGTGTGAAGGACTTTTAACAGGGACCAGTTACCCATTCTGGAAATTTGTTAGCTATTTACCGACTTTTAAATTTAATGATGTTATAGAGAATGGAGGTTCGCTTTTTTCCAACTGCCTTCCCTAGAACTGTTTTGAAGTAAATTCTCTCCTGCAAGATTTAAAAAGTCCCCTGAGCCACACACAAAAAGCAGCCTGATTTGAGCAAGTGATGCTTAAATCAGATGAGAAAATGATTAAAAGGCTATATAATTTCTTACTCGATAGGAGAATGGAAGACGAACAGGTTAAGGAAACTATGATAATGTGAGCACAAAACTTTGGATATAATATTGAATTAGAAAAATGGCAAAAGCTGTGGCAGAGAAATATCAAGGCAACATTAGCAACTTCGTATAGAGAAAACCTGTACAAAGTGCTTTATAGATGGTATCTGTTGCCAAATAGATTAGCTAAGATGTTTCCAAATATGTCAATTGGATGTTGGAAATGCAAACATAAACTGGGTACTTTTTATCATATGTGGTGGGCTTGCGATAACGTGAAAAAGTATTGGATTAAAATATATAAATGGCTTGAGGAAATGTTACAAAAATCCTTAGCTTTTAAACCTGAAGTCTTCTTATTAGGTATTAGACCTGTTGATATTAGTAAACAAGAAATGTACTTGATTTTGCATGTAATCACTGCGGCGAGGATTGCATTTGCTCAACACTGGAAAAGTGAGGAACTACCCACCGATGAACTGATTCTAAGAAAGATTCTGGACTGTGCAGAAATGGATAGATTGACTTTGTCATTGAAGGAGAAAGAAGATGCTGATTTCTATCAAACTTGGGACTCTTTTTATTATTGGCTAGAGAAACGGGACTTGGTTTCTAAATTATCATAAATGGAAAAAAATGTGGGGGCTGACCCAGTAGGTCCGATTTTCCTGATGATTGATGTTGTTTTTAGTTTTTCTTTGTTTTAGGGTTATAATTTTGAATAAAACTTATTACAATAAATAAATAAAAAGCAGCCTGCTTTTCGTTCTCATCTTTTTAAAACTTTCACTACAATATCATAAAGAAAAACAACATTTTAGGAAGGGGGGCTTGTGATGCATTTTGAGTTCATGGAAAAATAAATAAGCAAACAGGCTCCGAAAGGGACATGACTCACCATAAATGGAAAAGAGTCTTCTCCATCCTGCACCAAACCGGGGAGGATCCCCAATTTTAAAATGTGCCTTAAATTCTTAGCACTCCTTCCCCAAGCTGGTGCCCTCCCAGCATGTGAGATGGCAAAAAACAAAATTCTCCGGAAAATGGCATCATGCTGGGAACCAAAAAAGGGTCATGAGCCCCTGGGATTGTATCAAATGCATGTGTCACGGAATTCCCATTCGCCTCCGCGGGTCTGCTCTAACATGAGACAGGGCGAGCCCCGCTCTGCAAGCCTCAGCTCCCCATTTGTAAAATGGGCCTCGGTGTCATTTCTCCAGCGAACAGACAGGAGTCAAGCGGGGGGGGGGGG